GTCAGCACCTTGGCCAAGGTTATAGAGGCCTACATTGACGTAACAAGGTCGGAATGTCACAGCTACAATAATATTTTTACCCACATTCAAGTCAGAGAAACAGTAACGAAGTTGCCACGCAACAAAGTATTTATTTCACGTGCCAATCCTGAGATTTAGTTTTTACATTTTAAATTTTACATTACGTTAGAAAAAAAAAGTGTTATTTAAGAAATAATTGATCAGTGAATGATGATTTATACTCTCGGGGCACCTATTTTATTGTAGATCTACCATTACTCACACATCTGGGGCGCCCCCCAATGGCACAGCGATATGTCTGCGGACTTACAACGCTAGAAATCGGGTTTCGATACCCGTGGTGGGCAGAGCACAGATAGCCTATTGTGTAGCTTTGTGCTTAATTACAAACAAACAAGCATCTGGGGCAGCCGCAAATAAATAATAATAATAATCTCACGTTTTGTTCAAATTAGTGGATTTCTATAACGCATTGTGAGTAAGTGACCGGCTGGATTCTGGTCAAATTCAGAATCATACTGATCCAGAAAATGCAGTATTTTGTTTCATCGAATAAACATTTTTATGAAGCAGCAGATTCCAGAAATTGATAGTCTTACAAGTGGGAGATTGATGTTAAACAAAGATTAAATACAACCATATCGAATATACGTGAAACAATCACAAAGTACACATGAGAACAATAAAATTTATATGTCCAGTTATATTCTTTGCAAAGAATGAATGTCCTATTAAATTACTTCTGAAAACCTGAAGTAAATACAGATAGTACAGTTAGGCTAAGACTGAGAAGTTATAAAATGTTTTTTTTTCTGTTGTTCTACCACTTATTAACCCTAACAGCAAATTATTTTCTGTGTTTTAAAACAACTAGATACCAGTTAGTTTGGGAAAGTTTAAAACAATTTTCTTTTGTTTGAAAAGTATGGGAGTTTATTTAATTGACAATATCTTAAAATATTCTCATAACTCTGTTTACAAAGTAAAGAAAATTATTTTATCACGTCCATAAATTAAGTAGGCTATTATAAAGTTTAAAATGCCTATTTCACAAAATTCTACTTTTCTGTGCTAATTCTAAATATCAGAACACCTGAACCTACTATTATTGCTTAGGTTTATTGCTTTTTGAGAACCTAAAGTCAGTGATGGAATTGAAAAAATATCTGGATTTATAATGTGGACTAGATTGGTTTATCAACAGTTCAGAAGCTGGAAAATATTGTTGCTAGGTGTGCTAAAAAACGAGTTGTAAAGTTAACCAGAGTATGGGAGTAATGTCACTGTGATATGTGGTATGAGAGCATGAGGATCGTACGTGCAACTAGTATTTGTATAACCAAGGCAAAGAGTGACAGAAGGGCTACTTGCCAATGCACCAATTGGAGCAAGGAGTTTTGCTGCACCTAGTGGTTGGAGCAACGATGAGATATTTGCTGAATGGCTTCATGTGGCAAGGATCCTGAGATTATTGACAGGTTAGCAATAAATAAAGAATGTGATTATATACAAGGTTACGGGAAAATAGTAAAGTTGATGACAGGAAGCTTTGTTTGTCATATGTTCAATGTACATCAACAAGAAAAGTAACAAAAAATATACAGATTGTAGCCTAATCTTCTCTCCGCATGATAAGTTAAATAATTGTCTTACAGGTGTAAAAGATAAAATAGAGCAATTCGATAAATGCAGTTATAAAATTCGTTGTTTATGTGGTTCATTTTACGATAGCAAGTTTTGGAGAAAATTTAGAAAAAAAAATTTAGATAAAGATTTTGGTCCAGGCATTGTAAAAATGAAAAAGTTTTTCTGGGATGGACTTTGTAGTTACAGCATGGTCAAGAGGGTGCTGGAGGGTGTAATGATATGTTTATGTAACGGTATTGTTATGTATGTATACTTGTATATGCCTGTATGTGTGTGTTTTTACAGCAAAGCCACCTTAGGCTATCTGCTGTATCCACCACAGGGAATCAGACCATGCCTGTATGTGTGTGTTTTTACAGCAAAGCCACCTTAGGCTATCTGCTGTATCCATCACAGGGAATCAGACCATGCCTGCATGTGTGTGTTTTTACAGCAAGGCCACCTTAGGCTATCTGCTGTATCCACCACAGGGAATCAGACCATGCCTGCATGTGTGTGTTTTTACAGCAAGGCCACCTTAGGCTATCTGCTGTATCCACCACAGGGAATCAGA